GATAAATTGGCTAGGAAATTTCTATAGCCCTAGCTATTTTATAGCTCAAGAAACAGAGGCGACTGGAATAATTATAATAATGAATTTATTACAAATGAAGCTAGACTATAGGCAAAAAAACTATCCTTGAATATCAAGTTTCATTGTCGAGCCAATCGAGCTTTTTTGCGGCTACCAATCTTGCAGAAATTGCAATTGGTCACACTCGGAGAGTGTAATTTTGCTTTTCTTTATAATCTTCAAAACTAGTATTCGGGGATTTTGACTATTGTTTTACTTCTCCAAGCGTTTTGGGCGCAAAAATCATGCTGAATTAATATAACGAGTCATTAAGCAAGTTGTGCAAACATAAATTGTTTCTTAAGCAGCAAGAGAATCTCTTATGTAGAAATCATATTACCATCGCTAATTTGTAGGAATAAAAATGGAGCTCCTTTCATTGCTCTAAAAACTATTCATAGACAAGCAGCTATCAAAAGAGAAGAAGGGTTTGAACTAACCGCTAGGCTCTAAAATTAGATCATGATTCTTCCCGATTCCCTTTTACAATCATATATTTAGTGGAAACGGCGCCGAAATTACGATTGGTACGGAGATGATCGGGCAGAGCATTCAGTGCCAGGCTAATAACGGTCTTTACTCGGACACCGAAATGGCCACCAGCCAAGCCGTCCAAATTGACCCCTACTGTAAATCCTAATCCTTCCTTTGCTCTCACGCCGTAATCTTCGTCAATAGTCTCATTTTTACAGCATCGGCTCGATTGGTCCAGGATAACTTCGCAACGCTACAATCGGCGGCGCCGTTCCAGGCTGGTAATCGTCTGGAAATGAATCAGCAGATTAACCTCGGCTGTCAGGTGGAGGGTCATCCTCGTCCCTATGTGTACTGGAAGCTGCGCAGATCGAATGGGCAGGTTGGGGACTTTCTGAATGCAAAAGACCTTCGAGTATGGGGCGCTACACAATAGGCGAGAGAGTTATTGCAGGTTGTCGATGCCCCTTGTGCTCAAGGATTGGAGGGACAAACCCAAGAAGTCTACGATGCGCCGCGAGATCGACCTATCCCACCGAATGTTGTGGTATGCTAATTTATAATTTACGGTTATCCCTATTTGCAACTGCGCCAATTCCCACCTAGGGATATCAGGTCCCATAAATCATCAATTATCCCCGTTCAGCGCATCAACGCCATCTGCTCATTCCGCGTTTCGAATTACTCGTTGTCCGGACAGTACTGGTGCTCAGCGTGCTCCTTCGTCAGCCAGGGTTCTCCGGAATGCTCACCATCTCTTGAGAGTCCTGGAACGAGTACACTTACAATTCAAGTTATTGGACCTCCCATGCAGTCCGATGCGCCCCCAAC